ACCACGACGGCCATGCCGGATTAATGATTACTGCTAGTGCCGTCGACCCCTTGAGAGGGATACTATATCTCTTTCTCTAAATACGTAGCAAATATATTTAGATTCTGTGGATACTATTGGCGGAGGGGGGAAATATAGATTAGAAGTTTCTCTGTGCTCTCTAATTATATAGAAAATATACTTAGATGGGGGTGTTGTGAAAGTGGTGCAAATAGAAAATATAATTAGATAGAGATCATGGTGAGGGGTCGAGGAATCTTTTAGAAATCTTTAGATATTCTCATATAGAATATACAATTAATTAGGTATTGATAAGGGTGGAGGGGTGATATTGAAATCTTTTCTATATATATATATATAGAAATATAATTCGAAGCGACGTATTGATAGTCTGGTTGGGCGGTGCGGCAAGGAGAGAGAACGTATTGGAAGTCTGCCTTATATTCTCTTCTATATAAAGATATATATGAGAAGTCTCTAAATATTCTGTAAGTATATAGAATATATAAGTAGGTATGGGGGTTGGCGTGGGCGGCGGGGGGCGGGGGTAGAAAATATAGGTAGATGAGGGGGTATGTAGAAAAACGAGTTAGATGTGGGTATTGGCGAAGATGGTGGGGCGGAAAGGGATGAGAGCGGGGAGGGCGGAAGGAGGATATGAGCATAGATTAGAAGATTCTAAATATTCGTTAAATAGTCCTTAAGTATGTAGGAAATATAAGCCTTTAGATATTGGGAGGTGGTATGGATGAAATGGAGGTGAGATACGAGAATATATTCGAAGTCTCTCGATATTCTTTAATTATGTATAAGATGGAGCTAAATACGGATCTTATTGAAGACGGTAGGAATAGGGAGGAATAAGGATAATGAGATACTATTAAAATAAGCAAAAAATTCTTAAGATTTGCTTGGCGCCGCTAATATGAGATATCGATAGATAAGATCTCTATATATTATATTTTTAAAATTCTATATAATTTGTCTTCTCTATCGAAATTATAAATATTATTGATAAGAATTATTATCTTTATACGAAAATATTCTTATTAAAATAGAAAATAAAATATCTAAAAATTCTTTTGAATTTGAGATTTTATATAGCATATCGCGGCAAATATATATTAATAAATAAAATCGATAGATAATGAAATAAATAAATATATAATGATATATAGGTGGATAAATAATTAGATTCTTTGATAGATAAATAAATAAATCTGCAAATAGATTCTCAAAATATTATTAGAATTAAATATATAGATAATCGCTTAATTTCTCATATAAGATCATGAATATTTTTATGAAATCAAATATCGACGAGTATATTTTTGGTTCCTTTGAGCTTCGAAGTGTATGCCAGATGATTTCGCTGCATCCTAGATAGCCTCCATATATAAGAAAGGGAATCATAATAGATAATCCCGAAAATGATCTACCTATATCAAAATATTGACATAAAAAATTTATATGATCATACTGAAGATACGCATAGCAGATGCCATTGACTCGAAGATTGAATATCCGAATCGGATTCAGGAAGGGGAAATCCATAGCAGAAATTTTATTTTGAGGCAGGAGCTTCATAGACGTCGTTAGATAAGGGCATGAATAATTATTCTTAATCTTTCTTGATTTTAAAAAAGATTTCGATAAAATTGATTATATAAAAATATTTGAATCGCTCAAGCGATTCAATATATTTGATGAAATTCTAAATATCATCAAATCTCTTTATCGAATATCATTATTATAGATCTCCTATAAAATATAATAAAATGATTGACATATTTAATAAATAAGAATCTATTAAAGATGCTCTTTAAGTCCATATCTATTTATTTTGATTATGCATATCATATTTTCGATATCAAAAATAAATTCAATGATTCCCGTCATCGTAAAATATTTCAGGGAATGTATTTCTAAGATCTATTGAATATAGATGATATATTCATAATGGCTAAATCCCGGAAAATCATAAATAATTATCTATAATTGATTAAAGAAAAATCAGATATCTATATTTGAAATGATATTATATTAGCTATAATTATAGAGATATAAAGCGATTCAAAATCGGAGAAAAAATAAAGAATATTGAAGAAATTGTATATCTAAGAATATCTAATATATAAATAGAGATCTTGAAATATAAGATCAGAAAATATATATCTGGGACCATGATTATCTTTAAGAAATTTGATATTTTTTGATTTAAGGCAAATTATACCCAAAAATAGAAGAATATTTTTATTCTTAATAATTTCGTTTGTATATTCGAAAATCTAGATCTTATTGATGAATTTAGAAGTCTACTAAAGATATTTCAGCTTGAAGGATTGAGATAGATTCTCAAATTGAATACGATATTCATTCAATATCAGAATATAAATGAATATATGATCCGGAGAATAAATGAATTTATAAATATATCAATAGAAGGGGATAAATGAAAAATCAAGATATTAATTGAAATTCTGGAGGAATATCGCCTGAAATTGATGATTGATTTATATGCTTCGTAGGGATAGATAGTATCCCATATATCAATCAATATTCAAAATGCAATCTGCTATAGCCATGGAAATCGAGCAATATAGGATTGATTATCCGAGACAATTTGGGATAAATATGAAGATAGAAAAGATATTGAATATTTTAAAAAATATAAGGGAGCAGCTCCTGATTTATATTTCAATAAGCACAATAGAAATATGAAAGAAAAAATAATTGAGTACGCATAAAGATAATTCCCGCCGTTCAATTAAGAAATCATTCGCTTAATATAAACCAATTCGGCGGGAAGTAGCTCAATAAGAAACAATTCATTGGGAAGTTCTTTTTTTTATAGAAGCGTGGTCATATTAAAGATTTATCAATTAGATATATGAAATATGAAATCTCAATGAGAATTGTTCAATATGACGAGGGCTATATCATCTCTAAAAGATTATAAAATAGAAGATCATATTATTCAATATCATACTAAAATTGAAGCGGAGTAAGTTGTAGTATGAATAAAGAAATAAATCAGCCCCGACGACTTGCATACTCAACTAGCTACAACTTTAAATGAAAAAAACATATTCTAAAAATATTAAAATTTTTTCAAATCGTAAAGATACCTAGAAAAATTAAATATATAGATTATCATTTTTCTTCAGAAATTAAGATTTCAAAATATTAAGTCCACGAGATTGCTTAAAAATCGAATATTATCGTATTTTGGAAATTCTATAATGATCTAATAAATATATAAAAAAAACCAAGAAAATCGAAATTAAATAATAAATTTTCATTATTCTTATTAAATATTGCCAAAAAAATCAATCTCTAGCGAACCTAGAAATATCGCTAAGAAAATAATATAATTATAGTCTATAATTCGATATATATATATAAT